CCACCCCCCTTTTGCTTAATCTATATAAGTTGATGCCTGACGCAATAAAGTGAGTGCCTGCCTCTACACGACTTCCGACTCGGTGTGGTTTTTGAGTCTCTGACACTCACCATCCCGCTCAGCCCCCAAGAGAGGGACCCAGGCTGGTCCTGGCCTCTCCCCCTGTGCCGTACCTGTTGGAGCACCCGACAATAACAAATATTGGAGTATTATATTTACTAGTGGATGGTTCCAAATGTCTGGGGCCCAGCTGTTCCTGGACCAAATTTTTGAGGATAGACAATTTAGGTTCTATAATAGGCCACTGTTCCACCCAGATCGCATCTGTTGAGAGCCAGGTAAATGTAATTGGCATGGGAGACTCCTTAGGGGATGTCCCAGGGAGGGCAGTGGCCCCTTAGAATTGGGGGTGCTGGTCAGGGCTCTGATTTCTTCCAGAGAGGCCAAGTTTATCATGGGCTATGACATCATCATAAAAGGCCTGATCGTCTGTGGTAAGGACCACATGCATGTCTTCCAGGACATCTTGACCCCACAAGTTGCGGGGGATGTTGGCCACTATGGGAGTGAATGTGCCCTTACTCCCATCTAAGTCCTTCCAGTGTACTGGGTGGATGACAAGCTTTGTGTCCTGGCTGCCCCCCACTCCCTTAATGGGTGGGCCAGGCTGATATTTTTAATGGGGGAACTGAAGAGACTCACTCTCAGTGTTGATGGTAACATTGGCTCCTGTGTCCATTAGGCACTTCACAGCAATCCCATCCAGAAATAAGGTCATTGGGGGGAGTGATTAAGAACCGGAAGGGCTCATAAAATCTGTCTTGTTCCCCCTCTTGCGGGGCTGAGGGGCACCCCGGGTGGAGTTTAAAGGAGCCAAGTCCAATTTGGGCCGTGACCTACAATCTTTTGCCCAATGAAATCCCTATTTGCATTTGGGGCAGCGGGTCTTGGGATGAGCTCCATTGTTCAGGCAGTCCCTGGGGAGGTGTCCTGTCCTCCTGCAGTTTTAGCAGCCATCTTTTGAATCGGAGGGGGTGGGCTTTTCTTATAATAAGAGCGCCTCTAAGGAGGCAGTTAGGGCCTCGATGGGCCCTGTCCTGGGGTCTGGGTCTCTAGTGGAGAGTGCCCATTTATGAATATCATCATTGCAGACAGGCGCAATAGCATTGCGGGCAGGGGTATTTAGGCCCTCCCATGTCAGTTGTTTGATAAGCATATTGTGGGTGGGTCCAGACTCCACCCTCCATTCCACTGCCCTGGTTACATGGGTGAGGAAGTCCATGAAGGACTCCCCTGACTGCTGAATGAAATTGTGGAAGAACCTGTGGGTCACAGAGGCAAGCAACATTTAAGGGCCTTGAAGGCCAGGTCACTAACTTGTTGGTAGTAAGCATGAAGGCCAATAGTGGACTGGGAAATGGGGTCAATATATTGTCCACGTCCTGTGAGCATATCCATAGTAATATTAAGGCCATATTGAAGGTTGAGACGTGCCTGATTTTCAGCCTGATCATCATAAGCCGAATGCCAGCTCAGGAAGACTGGGGGCTCCAAAACTGCTTTTAATAAGTTATACCAATCGTAATGGGTCTGGAACTGTATGGCCCATTGGCAGAGAACTTGCTCAAAATATGGGGAATTGGGGCCTGATTCATTGGCGGCTTTGCAGATGAGTGCAAGGTCTGTGAGAGCACCCATGGCTGTTGCGCAGCATTTGGGCTGACATTAACTAGAAAGGTGGACAATGGCCGACAAGGGGCAGCAAGGGGTGGGCAGGTCATAGGGGGGATATAATGAGCAGGAGGTGCGTTGAGCAGGCAGACCGTAGTTCCTTCCAGGGGTACTGGGGTGGTGGTGTTTCCAATTGTTGTGGCTTTGAAAGCAGGGTCTGAGGTAGAGGCAAGGGGCCCCTTCCTCATCTGGATCAACCTCAGGGCTGGTTCCCATATAAAGGTCATCAGCGGTTGAAGTAATGGCGAGGTCTACATTGGCCTGATCCTGACAATGCTTATTGTGTGGGCTGAAATGACTTCTTCAGGGGAAGAGGACTCAAGGCTGGCAATGATGGCTAAAAGGATTGGGACAAATGAGGCAGGGGAAACGACTCCCAATCCTACTTCTCTTTTACAGGCCAAGAAAAGGACCCGCATCCATAGGTCAGGATCCCACATATTCTTGGGAGAGACCCAAGGGGCCAGGTTTGTGGCTTCATCCCAGAAATTTTCAATATCTTTTGGGTTAACTTTCAGGCCCCTAGTTCTAAGGAGCGGTTTGAGTGCTGCTGTTTGTGGCTCCTTGCACTGTGGTGGTAAGTTGCCCATTGTGGGAAGGTCCTGTAAGGGAAACTCGACACAAAAGTAAAAGGCAAGGGTGGCTACCAACAGGGCACAAATGAAGCAAACAAGGACCATGAACCACTCAGACGTAAACCACCCCAACATGAAGAGGTGTATCGGATCCAAATGTCTTGTGCTTAGTGAGGGACTTCTGAAGGCCATGACAACTTTGGCCGTATGCTCACATGGTGTCTCTGGGACAGGCAACAGGATGACCTGAAGCCTGGGCTCTGAGTTCAGGGTGGATCAGCCCTCATGTGAACTCACCAGGACGAGCCAAGGAATAAAAGGTGTCGACGTGGGCTTTGGGACCACGTGGCGGAGTGTGCCTTCCTGATTTAACAACAAATATGACAAACAGGGTAGAGGAGACAGAGGAGGGGGCCACTCGCTCACCCTTGAGCAGCCAAAGGGACAGACAAAATCTGGGACCTATTCACCAAACGAACCGAAGTTGGGGGCATTGCCAACGCCGGGGGGCCGGGAACCTTGTTTGGGCGCCAGCTGTTGTAGGTTTCCTCATGGGTCCAGCCCACGAGGGACTGCAGGGAACGAGGGTTCTGGCCGAGGTGGGGTGAGCGGCGCAGAATCAACACACAGACACCAGGAGTCGGGTGGAAGCAGGCACTAGTTGAGGTGCTGCAGACTTGTTTATTGCTGGAAAGGGCAGGCCTTATATATCTCTCCTCCTGCCCCCAGTGTCCTATAAGCTGGTGTGTCACTCTCTGGTAGATCCCCTCATCCAGGCCACTCGCGTCATCAGTCTCTAAGTCCGGGGGCAGATTAGGTTGGCTCTTTTGCAGAAGCGCGGGCTGTGCTCTCAAGGTGGAAGCTGTGTTCTCTAGTGAAGCCTGTGCTTAGGCCTGGCACTTCCTCTCCTACACTGTGTGACTCTATTTTAATTCTGGCAGATTTCATGACACAGCAAATATTGTTAATAATATTGCTTGCAAGAGTTCTGTCTTAGGTTTGCATTAGAGAACCAGCCATCTCATCATCAATTTGTTTTCTCTTTAAGAAAATGATTGCTGGGCTGGAGAGATGGCTCAGCAGTTAAGAACACTAGCTGTTCTTGCAGAAGACCCAGGTTCGAATCCCAGCACCCACATGGCAGCTAACAACTGTCCCTAACTCCCGTTCCAGGGGATCTGACAGCCTCTCTGTCCTCTGAGGGCGTTGCATGACATGGGTGCACTTACATACATGCAGGCAATACACACATGCACATAAAATAAAAATAATAAATATATATAAAAAAGAAAATGATTGCTTTTCTCTTAAGGTGTCATGGAGAAACTCCAGCTTGGGCCAGAGACTCTGTTGCAGGAGAATCCAAAGCTCATCTATGCCAGGCTGAGTGGATTTGGCCAGTCTGGAAGATTCTCCAAGGTAGCTGGCCATGACATCAACTATATGGCTTTGTCAGGTATGTTGAAAAATGTATTTCTAAAACATTTTAAATTTGTTCCCAATCGGGAAGTAAAGTTACATTGATAAGGAAGAATTTTTATAGGTGAAGATTTAATACTTCCTGGAATTGAAGAAAGCAGGGCTGTTTAAAACAGGTTGATGGGTTCCTGGAACTGTTGTTCTAAAGCTCTACTCCAATTGTAACACATTTGAGAGGTAATATAGTCTCACTAGTAACATTTATTTTCTACAGCTGGATGGAAAGTCAGTTCTCAGAGAAGCCTCTTTAAGGTCTGAGAAACTGATAGTGAGATGGGCACAGGTCAGGAAAGGTATTTTGGTGTGCTTTTGACATTCCTTCACTAAGGATCAATTTTGAGCCATCACTTCAGACTTCTGTGAACACTGCGGAAAGCCAACAGTTTTCAGGTCTCACTATCACTTTATTAGAATTTGTACCAGTGACAACAGGTTTTACTATGTCCTGATTGCATATTCCTAAGAACTGTTGATAAAAACAAATCTTAGATTTTCTGTAAGAGCACATTTAAAGGATGATGGGGAAAAGTAAGGATAAAATTAGCTTTTCATGCCTATTTGAAATTTAATTGCTTTTTGTGTGTGATTATTTCTTACATTTCATTTCAACAAAAATAAAAATGCATCATACTGTTTAAAGCCATGAAATAATCTGACAATGATTATCTTTAAAATTTGGTAAGTGAAAATTTTTAACAATACAATGTTAGCATCATCATTTGGGATGATTTTTTATCATATTAATTTTTTATGTGGGATGGGGTTAGTGTTCACTACTATAGCCCAGACTGGTCTAGAGATTGAGATCTACCCGCCTTGGTCTACTGAGTGCTGGGATTATAGGTGTATACCACACCACCTGTCTTCAGGATAATGTTTTAGACAGGAGAACCTCAATAAAATGCAGCTATCTTTGTTTGTTAATAGCTAAAGAGGCACAGATTTTTGGGGGGCGAATTCAGATTCTTTAAATTATTTATTTAATAACCACATACTTAGAAGAAGCATTTCATTACAACAGCATTGAAATATTCAATCACAATTTCCAGAGCTAAGATGCATCTCTTTCAAAATTGGCTGTAAATTTTTAGGTTTGCAGCTGAATTATCATAGTTATACAATATTGTACTCAGTATAAACCCTATAAGACATAACAGTAAATGAGGTTTTAACATTTAAAAAAGATCTCCATTCCATTATTAAAATAGTTTCATACAGAAAAATTCATTTTTAATGTAATTGACATTAAGATGTTTGCACGTGCATTTCTAATCTCTATGTATCTGATTATTGCTAGTCATAATAGGTTGCACTTGGATCCTTGGCACCTGTGTATGTCTATAAAGTCATCGGGTAGATTTCAATGGTAATGTTTAACATCTCTACTAATTAACGTGATGTAAATTTTTATGCTTCCTCCTCAAATATAATTCATTTTTTATTGATACACATCACAGAGGAATATTGATGTTGCCACTAGGAATCTTAAGTACTTCTGAAGATTACACTAATTTGTGCTGCTTACAGAATAATGTACCTTTATTTTACATATAACAAAATTTTAAGATACATGATGCTGAACTCTACTTTCAGTAACAAATTTTACTTCAAATATATTTCTTCTTATTTTTTAAAAAAGATCTCCATTTCACTTTACAATATATTGTTCCTTGCAGAAAGAATTGTTGTTTTTGCTACTAACACTGAGATGTTGGTGCATGCATCTTTAATCTGTATGTATCTGATTATTACTAGTCATAATCGGTTGCACTTGGATCCTTGGCACCTATGTATGTCTATAAAGTCATCGGGTAGATTTCAATGGTAATGTTTATCACCTCTACTAATTAACATAATGTAAATTTCCATGCTTCCTCTTCAAATATAATACATTTAAAAAATTTGTTGATTTTGTGTGTGTGTGTGTGTGTGTGTGCATCACACAGAACATCCCAAACCATCTTATTCAACTATACACCCAGTTCCCAGATGGCACCCACCCATAGCCTCCATCCCCCCACTAGAGCCCTTATACTCTGATATCCCTGCTACTATCTGCTGTGTTGTCGGCACCCCCAGCCATTCCCCACTACTTGCCCTTCTGGTGAATCTAGTCAGCCTATCTAGAGGTCTTTGTTTTAGGAGGGTCAGCTGTTCCTCATCTAGCAGCAATCACTTGTCAATATTCCTTTAGATGAGATTGGGGCCTACTGTTCATTTTCCAAGTTCTATGCTGGGTTACTATCTGGGAGTCACTTTGGCCACTCTGGATGACAACTCAAAAGAAGGTATCTACTATCTGGCATTGTTGCTTGTTATGTAGCCTTTAGCTATGCATATGGACTCTTAAGGCTTGGGAGGAGCCCCTGCCTCCTTTCTTTTACCAGTTCTGCCTATGTAAAGATAAGTCAAAGGTCCTGCTAGACCATGGATGGCTTAGCTTGGAAGCATGGAAGAAATGATTCTGCTGTGTTGACCCTCATCTTTGTAGACTGGACACTGGTTCAAGTCCATCTGGTGGGGTCTCCTTGGCCTCCTTGATCAAGAGGACAGGTGACCCACCACAATTACAGGACATTTTGAGAGATGCTCATGGTCCCCTGGAACTAGTGGACCTAGAAGGGCAAGAAGCAGAAAATGTCCTTTATGTCCCCCTGACCAAATTACTATAGGCCTCAAAGTATGTCTGTTAAACATCCAAGAAGTTTAGTTCCACCAGTCTGGTACTTTTAATTACCGTGCGTCATGTAGATAAATCCTGGGCAAAGACCAATTGTTCTCAGATAAACCTTACCTAGACATGTATTTCTTGATCTGCTATGTAAAATTTGTCAGTAGGTTGTAGGAGTAATATGGGTCCCTCTGGTTTTCAAAACTAGCTAGGGATTATTTATCTCTTGCGTTGTCTCACCTCTCCATCATGGTTTTGCAAATTAAGGTGCCCCCCATTTCTCCCTTCTCCCTTACTAATACCCTTCTCCTATGGCCTACCTCTCTTGAGCTCCTTCTTTCCTTTTATCACCTAGGTTCCTTGTATAGCCTTCCCTCCCCTGTCCCTTAAACTAACCCAGTTTTTATCCATATCTCCCTTATTGAGGCTTGTTTGCTACTGTTCTTCTCTTTCAGGTTCTTTCTTCCCCTTTACCTCCCTGTTTCCTCTCCATTATCCTGGTTCCTTTAGTTCTGTCTGGATACATACTCACTTATCAGGGTTTGGTTCTAGGATCCACATATGAGGGAGAACATATGTCGATTTTTTTTTCTGAGTCTGTGTTACTTTACTTAGTATAACAGTTTCTAGTTCCATCCATTTACCTGCAAATTTCATGAGTTCATCTTTCTTTACTGCTGAGTAAAACTCCATCGTATAAATGAACCACATTTTCATTATCCACTTGTCAACTGAGAGATACATAGATTGCTTCCATCTCTTAGCTATTGTGGAAAGAGAATCAACAAACATGGATGTACAAGTGTCTCTGCAATAGGATGAATTCTTTGG